ATTTGCACTAATTAGTGTTTTTGCAGAATCTACAAAAGTGGATTGAATTAACCATTTCTCTGTTTTATTGTCACTTAAGGGACCGGTGACATTTCTCTTGATAGAGCTGTGTTTTGAGTGGTTATCGGGTACCTACAGCTCTGGCTAGATAATGGATGATGGGCGAAAGCTCAAGGAAGCTCTGTCTTCTTGTAGCCAACACCTGTCAAATTACTGCTCATCAAATAGCCATATTTGTGATAGCATCTGTTTCTTATTAAAACCGACGACCATCGATATCGTATTAGAGTCAAAATTCGATGTGGTCGGTGTGTGCCAAAACAGTCGCAAATTAGTCTTTCTGTCCCATTGGACAGGCTCATACACCCACTCTCTTACCTAGGGGCTTTTATCGAGAAAACGGTGGTGAATACCAACCTAATCTCGTTCGCTGCCCTGTCAAAGGCCTTGGTTCTGTCTCTATTGGTTTTTTCAGTGACAGAAAACACAGACATAATCATCAATATAAACACGATTTCATTCCATTTATACAACCATAGATCACTATCTTCAATGGCAATCTGTTTGATTACATGATAAAGTCGAGAGGATTTCCTATTTCTCAGACCGGGCTAGCTCTCTGAACATCTTTCCTGGCGTCTTGTCAATGCTTTATGATGAGACAGTTATCTCAGGATCAAAAGCCTAGCCAATTGGATAACTAATTAATGTGATGTGCAGCAAGTGTCTTTGGTCCATTGCTTGATATTTCCAAAGATATCTTGGGCTTTCAGGCGACAAAAGAAGCCCTTTTTTACAATAAAGCCTTTTCTAGTGTACGATTCATTTGCGTCTAAATGAATGAATACTTTGCTTGGTGAATGAATGGGTGGCTTATACCCTACGTGGCTTCTTTTTTTGGGCGCCATTGCCCATTAGTATGGTGCAGTTCAGTAACACACGAAATAGAATTTATTGAAGCCCCATGGGTCTAAACAGGGACAGGTTTACCGGGGGGTATGGAGAGTACAATATCCCCCATTATTTTTTTGTCTTTCGGTAAATGTAGAAATCAGTAGTCATTATAAGAATAATTAAACAAATTACTTGGTCTATCTTCTTATCTTCTTTATTTTAAAGCTTAACACTGAATTTTAAAAATGGACGTTTCCGTCATTTTCCAACCATCTGAAGGATGTTGCACCAAAATAAGTGCGCCACCCTCATTTCCCTGCGTGCAGACTTTACAAATAGAGCAAATTGTAGTTTCCTAGAGCTATTTGTAAAGTCTGCACGCAGGCTACCTCCTCACAAGCTCGCTTACAATCACGCGTGGTTTGACCCTCTGGTTTCCGAGACCTGGGGCGAGGTCTTTAACTATTACGTTCCAAGTATCTTTTTTACACAAGTTGAATTTAATTTGATATTTAGTAAGTAAAAAGAGTAATTTATGAAACACATGTAAAGTTTTCGCCTATGACAGCTCACCTCTCCCAGTCAATTACACAGCCTTGTCTTCGATGTATATCTTTTGAGGAATGAAGTAAAGAATGCCATGAATCGTTGGTTTGTTTAAACGCCAATAGAATGAATGGCTAGATGTGTTTGACCTAGATGAAATGAAATGGGGAGATTTGTTTAATACCATTAAATTTAGATTATGCAGGCAAGTGATAAAGTTAAATCCATGCTGAATACGGTTTGATAGATGGAACTTCGTTTTGTCGTGTAATTTTATTGTAAATAGAAGAGAAAGATGCGAACAAACGGAAACTAGATGAGATATTGGTTTGTCTCTTCATTAATTCGCAAAAAGAAGGATTACTTGACTGAAGTTTTTAGAACGAGAGGATCTTAATTCAATTATTCAATTATTAAGAAAAAGTGGATTTATTTTACTCTATCGTCAAATCCAAAATGAATTTTAATGAACTGAAATCAACGCTGTCCAAGCTGGATTAAAGAAATCTGATACAACATAATCATAATCTCACTTCTAGCTCGTATTCCTCGACTGCTTGTTCTCCGTTGTTTTAACGAGGAGCACAGAATTGAAAATCTTCAAGGCCAAAGTGAAATTTCCCCAACTTTTTCACAGCGTTATACTGGAATTTATTTGAAAAATACAGTATTTTGGTTCCCATTTTTATTTAGAATATATTTACCTACAAAATTTGTTTTGGCAATCACGAGAACCGAAAATATAAAACTGAATGTGATAAATGCAAATATTCAGGAATGCCATATGTGTCTATCACACCATGTTCTTTTCTGGTTCCTCAGCTATCACCGCCAAGATCAAACATCATACAGTACAAATCAAATTCTGGCATTTCTTTGCACATAACCCCCGGCATTACATTTTGATTTATCCGTTCCATTCCTGCAAATGGCTTGCTAAAATTAACCCAACTGTCAAAGTGTGAATTGCCGTACTTTTTCATACGGAGTCGCAACCCTTCCGCTCATCAAAATAAACTCTTCTTTTTTCGGTACACTTATCAATTCTGTCACTCGCTTTTTGGCCCTTTGAGAGAGCAAGTGTTGATGATATTAGCTAGTTTTGTGCCTGTCGGCTCGCCCCATAACGTAATCTTTCTGATGATCGTCTTTCCTTCTTTAGTTTCGGCAATTTGATTATTCAGGAGCGAGTCACATGTTCAGCATGCCATACATTCTTCGTGCGCATAAGTTTTACACAAGTCTCCATCCAGTGCGTGACGCAGCATCAGACATCTTTGTGACATCCTTTTTTGTATCCACGTTTTCAAGATTTTGCCCAAGTTCAGCTCATTTTCAAAAACTGTGAAATTTCATCAGCTTAAGCTTCTATAAGTATACACACATCTTTTACAAGTATACATATTTTTTACAAGAATATCTTATTTTTTCTGTGCTTCGATATTCTTGATTTTTTATTTCGAGCCTAAGATTATTCTTAAAGTACCTTCAAGCGAAACAAGGTATAACTGAGTCGCGTTATAGTTTTGATGGCTCCAAGGCCGGATATTTCAAAACATATAGCGTTAAGCTCGCATTTGTTTTGCTTTCCAAAAAACTCAAATGAAGAAAAAGTTTAATTCTTGATGAAGCTTAAGCCTTGCATTATTCTTAAATTATTCTTAAATTTCAGCGATTTTGAGCCTTAATATTCTAATAGAAAACAAATTTTTTTACAAAAAGTGTATAACTCAACCTCCCTCTAGTTAACAAGAAAAAATTCTCATTTTCTTTGTTGCTATAAAGTTCTAAAGTGATGACGTCACAAAAATCTATTTTTAGAATTTTTTAATTTGGATCCCATAACCTGAAAGAGCATCATGAAATACCTCTAAATTTGCAAAATCAGGCAAGTGTATTACGAAATGGCAGAGCTTTGGCCACATGTTTATTGGTTCTCTCCTCACCAAACCTCTGTATTTTGGTCTCTGCTCATAACTTTATGAACAGAGCCAAAATAACAGTGATTCGTTAGCAAACTTCAAATTTTTCATTAGCAATATCTCAACCAATTTTAGACATATTTGGCCAATTTTGCGTATTTCAAAGTATTTCATTGTGATCTTTTACGCTTTGTGGTTAAAATTAAAAAATTCTAAAAATAGGTTTTTGATGACGTCACACTTTAGAACTCTATTGTGTTTAACATGCTCTACAGCGTTGAATATTTATTGTTTATGCTTGTAATGATAACTGAAATTTTATAACTTCACAGTATTTTATTGTATTGTATTGTATTGTATGATATTGTATTATATTGTATTGTATTATATTGTATTGGATTGTATTGTATTGTATTGTATTCTGTAATTTATTTGATATTATTTGCTACAATAGTGGAAAAGAACTAATTTATTTACATAAGAAGCAATTTCAAGGACCGCAAGGTTCATTTATTGCAAAAATAACATGTTCCCGAATTCTTTGAATAATGTTCGTACTGGTTGTAATAAGTTTTGAAAATCCCTCTCTCAGTGGAAGCGGAGGCTGATGTCGCCGGTCAACCACACAATCTCGAGGTCGAATGAATAAATAATGTTGTTCATTGACATACCCAGTATGCCTGGCTTTTAGCGTCGTAAGCTGTAACAGAAACATAGGCAAATATTTATGATCTAGTTCCTTTTTCTAATCAGCGGACCTATTCAAGTATTGAATAAATACCCATTCAGTGACCTATCACCAAAACCTGTGTGAATATTCGTTGACAGATGCTTTCCTATGCTACATTTGCCGCTCTGATAACGCACTATCTCCTTGCTGGAGAGTTACGAGAGGAATAAAAAATTACTGTAATAAATGAGCCGACCCCCGTCTTTCAGTCACAGAGCGTGCGCAGTAGTGATTGATGTCCATGCGCATGCGCCTTGTTTAAAGTTTGGCATAAGATTAGAAAGTGTTTTTAGATAAATGGTAAATTTATTGTAACTGTCAAATGTCGGTCTGGGTTGTGATGGGGGTGGAATTTCCAATTGCTTGTTCAGTATTAAGGAATGTAAAAAAATGTGAAAATAAGGACCGCCATGTAATTTATGGAAGCATCCTTCCAAAGGCGGGGTTTCTTGAACCAGCAACACATTCAGGGCTCAATCATCAGCAACTTATAAATTGATTTTTTAGCATGTTTTTTATTTATCGAATATTTTAACAGGTTTTTAAGCCTGCACAGGCATAAAAATTGCGCTTCAGCCCACTATCTTTTTCAAAAAAAGGGTTTTCAATTAGCAAAGAAGAGAAGCCCTTCAATTGCGTTAAAACGTTAGCGATTTCTGGGGTGGAATTTTAGAAAAAGGGGGAACTTTTAGGCTGGGATCTGACCCATGTGTCCTCTTACAAACACATGTCCTACTTCTCCCTTCCAGATCAAGGATATCGACCTGAAAAGTTGGGGTAATGCCTGATATTCCAGCAAATAGCGTTTGGCCCATTTTTTTCGAATCTTTGCTTGTATTTTATGTTTTTATCTTACCTAGATTTTTATAAATTATGGCAATGGTTTAACAGCCTTGCTCTTTTTACAGGAAGGAAGAAACGAGCGTGTGGATAGTTGGCGCAGTTTCCAAACCTCCAAAAAAAAGAAAAAGGAGAAGACCAACCGAATGAAGCCTTTCAAGCCCCCGTCACTGAAACCTGAAACAAGAGACTAAACCTTAAGGTTAGTCAGGAAACCGGGGCTACTGTAGTTATATTTGTATGTATATAAGGTTTGTTTTTCTGAAGCATGATAATTTGGTCAGTAGAAACAGCTTCTTTTTTTGGCAAATATTTTCAAGCAATGTTAACTTCACATCTGCGTAATACCGCTTCAGCCTCACATCAGCGTAATATCGCCTCAGCCTCGCATCAGCTTAATTTGGCTTCAGCCTCACATCAGCGTATTATCGCTTCAGCCTCACATCAGCGTAATATCGCTTCAGCCTCACATCAGAGTTTTGTTGCTAAATATTTAAAGATGATTTTGCCTAGTAAGGAAAATAACGACCATCCGAAATGTTTAGCATTTTTGAAGATTCTAGTTTGGGTTTTTTCAGTTTTACTCCTGATTGCATATTATAATTCACAATTCCTTTGTAAAATGTTTCATGGGTGCCAGCGCTGGAATGTTTTGGTCTGTTCATTCAAATTCATTATTGATAAACTACACTATTTCTATCCTTTATTCATGCTATTGATAAAATTGCGTTAAATGTGCAGGTCACTGTCTGAAAAGAAAGTATTTAATCGAGAGAGGTGGTCTTTTCTTACCATGCTCAGATTTCTATGTCTTAACGAATTCTTCTAAATGACAAAATTTTATGGAGCTATTGGAACGATTCTGCATTTTGCTCCAACTTTGAACTGACCTCCTTCCCTTCGCCCAATTTTCCAGCATACAATTCGTGCTATTTGGATATTTCAAGTGATCTTTATTTCATATTTAAGTATTTTTTCCCCAGAGGGGTCACTTGAAATTTTTATATACAGGGGGGCGTCTATCTTGCAAAGCTGCGTCTGTCTGTAGCGTCTATATTTCAAAGTTACATCCGTTAGTGATGGGTAAGTATTTTCTTTGTGATCTGATACTTTTCGGTACATGATTTAAAAGCATACCTTTTTTATATTTATTGGTCCAACTAACACATAAGTGCCTACTTGGTTATAAGTGCCATGCTTGTTCGGCTACCCACGTAGTGGGATGGCATTCGATAATCGGATGACGAAGGAGGAGAGTGAAGAATATCGCGTTTATCATTTGGAGATGCGATCAATCGATAATCCTTAGTTTGGATTAGAATGTAACGAGGATTTGCCGAATCCTTTCCGCTTCTTGTAATCATTTGATAAATGACAAGGACGAAATGCCATTTGAATAACTCACTGTTCATGAGTGACAGTGGCACACAAATCTGCCAGTACCTTCCTTCTCAAAAAGATCTCTCTGCACCGAAACGTGACCCGGTGGCAAAAAAGGCAGCACGAGGACCTGATTTCCGAATGTCGACTCTTTCTCTGTCGTGTTTCATGGCTTCCATGTGAGTCGTTATATAGATTTAGATAGATCTCGTTATGCTGAAAATGGGTGGAAGTAAGCGCCACGAGAGAAGACGAGTCAGTCCAGTGACATTTAAAGGTCACATTTTATGGCTTGCGTTTATTGTGTATATTTTTTGTGATCAAAGTTCCGACTGATGAATTCGTGACATTACTGCAATGGTAGGCTCATGCGAAATTGACAATGACGTCAAATCAACGTAAAATTTGCAGCAATGTAATATCCCTCATAATTCAATTCAATTATCGAAATTCAAGTGCTCTTAACTGTCAAACTATGTGGAACATTAAACAAAGAGAATTCATAATCATCTGACTTGACTTCACTAGAGTTGTCAGTCAAAAAAGATAGCCAGTTTTTGCTTGAGAATTGCTAAAGAGCAAAATTAAGGATGTTTGCTCTGCAAGCTTTGCTTGTGTTATTTAAAGAACCCAGACCAGAAATAACCTTCTTAATAGGCAATATAAAAACGGATGGTGAAAATTTGCGGAATTCTGGCAAATTGCATTTTATCCTTCTAATTCGGAAATCTTTGGACAAAGACTTAGGGATTTTTCTTATGATTAAATGACATCAGTATTCAAATTTGCGACAAATAATCGGTATATGATAGCAATTGGGCTTTTAAACCAATTTCTACCTTGCCACTAAAGCTAGAATTACGTGAATTTGAGGCTGTTTAGTCATGGCGGCTATGAGTGAACGAGTCTTAACAAACTGATAAGTAAAAATGTTTACGCAAGATAAGACCTATAAGCTTTATTAATCTTGATTTTCTTTAACAAATCACAGGTTGCTTATGTTGAATGTAACATTTTGGTTGTTCAGAAATGGAATTCCCTAAATTCGTTTTGTTTCTGTTCTTCAGTGTAGACAGAAGCAAATGTGCCCATTGAAAAAAGAAAAGGCTGTTATCAAAAACAAATATATTAGACCACAGCATGTTTCCACTACATTCTTAATTTCGTAGTTATTTGATCAAAAATAATCAATTTTGCGATATCTTATGTCTATGTCTCCAATTTTGAGAATGATCGTAGTTTTAATAGTTATCGTAGGTAATGAGAAGGCGTGCATGGAACTCTATTCAGATCCCGTTTGCGGGTAAAGTGGGTGAACCATCCTATATTTTACCGAGATGTCTGAAAATTTGCCAACGAAGCACCTCCACATGGCAAATATTTCCTCTTTTTGGAACGGAAATTTTTCAAGCTGGTTTCACACCTCTCTCTACATCCCACCATGGCGACGGTCCATCTTTGAGTCTCCTATCACTTTAAGGTACAATCACTGCCAAAATTATTTGGAACGCGCAATAATTTGCTCTGTGCTTTTCTATTTTTCATTTGTTTCCCAAATACTACTACTTCCGTCCCTCTATCCCTTCAAAACAATGTTGGAAGTATCGAAAAATATCAAACAAGCCACTACATAACCCCATTATTTTTTCTATTGTAAATCAACATTGTTCTTAGGAGAGAATGGGATTGCTGAATTTGCCTTTGAAAACTCACATTAGTGTTCCAAGACTTTTTTGCAGTAATTGTATATCATTTACTTGCGATTCGAGGAAGAACATTTTAACATATTGATCGACGGCATCATAGCTATAAACATATTTTCCCCTGAAGACAAATTTGCTTACCATTTGTTACCAATTGTTATTGACTTGCTGGGTTTTGCAGACCAACTTTTTTTTCCAACTAACTGATGGTGACTCAAGGGGAGATGCTCAAACTTTTTAATACGGGGAGGTCTATCTATAATTATCAAAAATAACCTAAAAATAACAAAACCAAATTTATTACACCCGAAATTATTAGCTAAAAATTGCTGATAAGATCTAAAATATTCAATATGAACTATATAAGACAAATAGTCATAGTAATTTCGACTGTTTCCTAAAATGACCAGTTTAAACACATCTGTTCTTTTATTCCCATTTTTGATATTTTTATATGTTAGTTGAACCAATTTTATGTTGAAACAGGTACCCAAGTGTATCCAGTGGCGGATTCAAGGGAGGCAACTAGGGGCAGTTGCCCCTCCCTCAACGAGTTGAAGCAAGTCTGGCGCCCCTTTTTTGGCAATTATGCGCCCCTTTTGAAAAATGAGAATCAAGTGAAAAAGTTTCTGAGACCGATAAGTTAATTTGCTTCAAGGATTACCTCAAAGTTATGTTGTTTATTTCGAAAATGGATCTGAAATTGTTGTATACAGCGTTCTCTCGTCACCAATTTTTGCAAATATTTTAGCGCCCCTACTACCAACTGCCCCTCCTTCAAATTTGCTCTGGATACGCCTCTGAGTGTATCATATCATAAGGAAAATTCTTACCCCATAATTATCAGAATGGACCCCTTTATAAATAGGTTCAAGGGACCCCCCCCAGGAGTGGTGTCACAGCCCCTATCTTCGCTCCTTCGTATCACAGCAGATAAAGAGTTTCTTACTAGTGTGCCACTGGTAGAGTTTCCTATAAATGCTTGCTGAGACATGCATGTCAGTTAAATTGAATTTTTGCCGACAACACTTCCGAACATTTACAAAATAGCGACCTGTATCTTAAAATAGTTGATAATTTTCGTTAGTATGACTTAAGACTGACAGTTATCTTTTTATATACGTGGTTTATTTTTGCTTGAGTTAAAATTTCAATTTTAAAAATACTTTATTGCGACGTGGTAAAGCTATAAGTTCACATTCGTGTCAACTCGACGATAGTATTTCTGTCAAAGACTCCACACTTCATTGATTGCACTAAAAGGATAAGAGTAAACCGTTTTGGATATAGCATATAAATCTATGCTTTAAGTTTGTCGAAAGACAGATAATTTGAAAAATGTCCATGTAACATGAGTATCTTCCGGATTAGCACTCTAAGACAGTTTAAATTAAGATTTGTTTAATTGCTTTGATATGGTAGGCATTGAAACCGTAGAGATCCAATTTGTAATCTGAAAGTAACAGTTAACTTTTTAATTGTTACAAATAATTGTTGTGTGAGAGAGAATACTTTAGACTGTAATACGTTTGATGTATGGTAGACTTTGATGTCGTTTTCATGTAACTTGCTTTCTCAAGCACTGGCAAAACAATGCAACATTTGCAACCTGGATTGGCACGCAGAAGTTGGATAGAATTGAAAGTGAAGAAAATTCTGTGCGAATAAATGTAATACGATCATTGTAATGAATTTGAATGTAATATAGACATGAATTTGAGAGATAAAATGCCATAAGCCTAACGTGAAATATTTGAGCACCTTTTTGGCAAAAGTTTTTCTTTGCTAAGAAGTTTGGACTTTTTAGAGCATTAAATGTTATTTGAAAGCATTAAATGTGAATGTAATTCATGAAATATCACTTTTTGTGACATTAATCTATGAGACTAATAGGCCATGATTATATCTTTTGCTTATTATAAACATTTGACTTTAACCCCAAAAGGTCAATTTAAAAGACCCTCTTAATAAAATGTTCGGGGGTTTCTCACTGGCTGTCGATTTTTGGAGGTATTGTTTTCATTTGTATGGTTACACGATGTCTGCATTATTTTGAAGATAAAATCTAAAACGGCAAATATACAGTAATTGTAGTAATAGCGGTAGACTATAAGTAAAACCTAGAAGAGACATATATAAGGGGTTAGATTATAGACTCTGAGTTGGTTACATGAAAGTGATAATAAAATTGACTTTATGACGTGACCAAGTTATGGAAATTACCTATGCTATCCATAATCGAAAATTGCTAATCGTTGTCACTAATTGATTTGTAACTATCTCTGATTTGATGTAACGAACTGGGCAGTATTGCACCTAATCATAAGCTAAATATATGGAGTACACGCGTACAAGCAAGTTATAGAAACTATTCGGAAACCACGACTCCCACAACGTTCATTTCTGGTCACATTTCCCTTTATATGGGCCATTCAAACCTGTTTATCTTGCATTACCATTTCTACTGTTGCATTCGTATCTAGAGATGAGTGCACGTAACCGAAACCACTCACGTGCCAAAGATAAGCATTATATGCAGATTATAAGCACACTTTAGTGATTACCAACCATTTTTACCTAATTGCACTGTCTGAAATCCTTGGTGAAAGTGATTTTTATTACTTAAATGACCCTATTTCGTTTCCACGCTTTAAACAATGACCCATCGCCTTGTTCTATATTTTGATAAGT